CCGGGGCGCTGGGGCTGCCTGGGGCTGGGCCTGGCCTGGGGCGCAGAGGTGGGCCCGGGGCTGGGGGGCTCCCTGGTAATGCCCCGAGCCCGGATCTTAGGCCCCTTTGGGACGCGCTCTCGGGCCGCTCTGCACATAGAGACTAGACCAGCAGAGCCGGGCACTGCTCAGGGCTAAGAAAAGTGAGAGGCCCTGAGCCGTGCTCAGGTCAGCCCAAGCCCCAGCGTAGCCAGGGCTAGGTGGAGGGAAGAGTTTTCCCATGGCCCTACCTACAGCCTAGAGAGATGGATTATCTACATCCCTGGAACAAACCCTTAGGGGACGTAGGAAGCATCTACACTATGGTGCCGCCGTGGCCCAGCTCCAGGGTGGTAGCTGTGTCCCTGGAGCCGCTGAAGTGTAGAGAGGCCCTTAGATGGAAGGGGCTGGGAAGGGCAGAGTATTATCACTGCAGCCAATTTCATCTTCAAAAAAAGCACTGATTCCCCCAAGACCTCTCTTCCTTAGCGCATAGAGTGAGTGTGATCCCGGGCGGAGGGACGTGCTCGCGGCTTGTGCCAGTGGAACCTGGACACGGAACTGAAAATCCCACTGGACTTTCTGCCCCAGCACTGCTCTCTGCAGCACCCCGTCGTCTCTCAGCAGGGCTGCCTGGCAGGATCTGCTGTTCGGTTCTTTCCCCGGCGTGTAGCAGCCAAGAGCTCGGCCAGGCTGGATCTCTGGGATGCTGCGATTCCTGGAACAAGGGCCGGTTTTCATTGGGAAATCGAATCGGATTTCAGCTTGAGTCTGATGCGCCGAGTTAGCTGAGGTGATGCTGTGATCAGCGGGACTAGAATCAGTGTCCTGTCATCGTGCCGTGGCTGCACTCCACTAAGAGCTCGGTTAACGCCCCACCAACTGACAAGCCACTGAACACAACGTGGCCTTGTCTGTGCTGCCCACTGCCACGCTCAGCATTTTACCTAGTTCAATTGCTACCTATAGTGTGTGAACCGAGTGAGGCGTCCTAGCGATGACAAACCCTGAGGGAGCGTGATGGGAAGAGGAGAAGGATGTGGCCAGTGGGTCTCTGGCCTGCATGTATCTATTGGCCCATGAGGGGAAGCAGGTCCTTGGCCTCTACTCCTGCCCCATACCCTGATGTAGTGACTACTCAGGAGATGTGTTCTGGCTGCTGTGAACTGGGGTGTGAGGATTCTGTTCCTCGGACCCATGAGAATATGGCTGAGCAAAAGCCCGTTTACTCAAGCTGTGTCCTTTGTGTAGGAATATCACCATTGGGACGTAGTCCTG